CTTTTCTTAAATATTTGTACCTGCTTGGTATTTTTTCTAATTTGTATTTAAGGTGAACTGGTGTTCATAATTTCTCTGAGGGGTCCTCCCCATAGGGTTTAATAAAGTTCTACTCTATTCAATGAGACGACCTACTATGAGCAAGCACTTTGGCAACAGTGGGAAGGAAAAACTCCCTTTTAACAGGAAGAAACTTCCAACAGAACCAGCTCAGAGAGGGGCGGGGCCATCTGCCATGAACGGTTGGGGGTGAGGGGTGGGAGACGGGACAAAAGACACGATATAACATGTAATAAATCAGAACATTTACATGTGACTTGCACCAAAGGATAAATATCTCTGCGACCATCCTGAAGAGGTCGTTGGAGTCTGAATCTGGTTCTTTCAGCCACCTTGACCTGCAGAGGCACAGACAGATGATCACACTTTAAACCAACTTCAAAATGCATCTTTAAAATAACTCCACGAGTTACTGCTCAGCAAGCTGACCTGTTGTTGTCCACATAACGAATGAGCATAGGGTAAAACGCGTACAGGTCCCTGCAGAGTACGGCAAACTCGTCCAGGATGAGCAGCTCGGCCTCCTGAGTGTCTCCTTTACAGTCGGCCTTGAGGAGCTCTTCCTCAGCCACCACTTTCACTGTCTTCTTCTTTAGTTTCTCCAGCGTGGGCAGGAAGTGGCTCTTCAGCAGGTCTGCACGGGCCTTGCTGATGATGGGCTGTACGTACACTGAACGGTGAAAGGCAGAAAAAATTTTATATTTGATTTTTTAATGTAAGCTTTGTAGATATAATGTTTACCACGATCAAATTCAAATTTAGCATGCAAACATCTGCATAGCTAAAAATGATGGTAAATATATTTCCCCGTTTTCTTAATCATTCCTCATGACTCAGTCATTTAGTGTTTAGTGGCAGCATTCACAGATCCACACCTGCAATTCTCTTCATCCACGAGGCCTCATCGATGCCCAGGTTGTTGTTGAGGATCTTGAGGATGTTGCCGAGAATCAGACTGAGGTGCTCCGAGGTGACTGTGGTACAGCAGATGCTTCCTCCGCTGGCCGGCTGGTTTTCAGGACCCCTTTCCCACCAGTAGGACAGATAGTTACACAGCATGGGCAGCACCACCTCAATCACATGGGGCATCTCTGTGTACCGCGCTCCAGACTCTGCCATGTCATTGATGTCCTTCATGAGGCGGTCCAGCCGTGGCATGCCAGGACACATTTCTTCCACTGAGTCTTGTATTCCTAGAGCTAAAACACAACAGGGGCTGATATTTGAAGATTTAATTCACACCAGCACATTTAGGATTTCTTCTTTCGAACATCAGTAATGAACACCCCACAACATCATCACTATCCATCTGCGGGGCATCATTCATATCAATAAGATGCTTGTTAGACAATAAGAGAAGATGACATAAAAAGAGACAAATAAGGGGTATTTGCAATTTTATTTGCATGATTGTGATAATTAAGGCGATTCATAAATCCTAATGTTTGAGAGCAAAAAGAGGTCATGATGATAAATGCTTGAATTTAGAATCTCTTTTATTTTGAAATAATTACATATGACTCACTGGCTCGTTCTCTGGCACTCTTCGTATTAAAAACTGAGCAGGGGTTGTACGGGTTGAGCTGCGGCTCTAGGAAGGCAACAGGCAAGGCGCCGGCCAGAGTTGCCAGACACTGACCGAGAGCTGGCAGCTGTCTGAGGGACGCAAAGAGAGTTTAATTAAAGGTCAGCATGTTTCTTTATTGGAGCTTTTATCAGTGAATACAACATTTAACCTTAGGATACCTTTCTACGTAGATGTTTTTCCCAGTGCCCAGAGCATAGAGGCTGGTCAGGATTCGATAGCAGGACACTTGGACGTCATCCACTAGGAAAATAGAACGATTAGAAATCAGCTGGAGGAAGTAAATTTGACATCTGTAAATGAATTTGGATTATCTCACGTCTACGTTTTGCGTTGTTCAGTTTCGTGTTCATTTCCCATGTCATCGTTTTCATAGTTAGCTTAACTTTTCCAAGTTTAGCTTTTAGTTTAGTCCCGCCCTTGTTTTGCTTTGCTGTGTGTTTTCTATTTTTGGTTTTCAGCCTAATAAACAACTCGCTTTTCAGTACTCTTCATTTCCTGTTCTCCCAAGTCTGCTTTTGGGTCCACACTGCAAACACACCGGCTGCCCAGCCGAGACAACACCAAGACATGCCAAGTTTTCAGCAATTAGATCTTTGGTGCAAAAAATAGAATTTTATGTCTACAAAACTGTGTCTGTTTCTGCATTTTTTGTAGAGTCAGCTAAAAGAAATGCGAAGAAAATGTGTGTGGTAACAAAGTGCCTAAAGATTTGAAATTGGTAAACATTCCTGCAAATGGCCAAGTATAAAGACTGGAGTGATAATAGTGGAAAAACAGCATCCAAAGGAAAACTTTGAATAATCTTCAGAAAAACTGAAACTATCAAGACAACAAAAAATTCTAAGAATGTCCGACTCCTTAAAAGCAAAATATATAGAAATGCGAGGTGACTTTTGCATAGTACTATATGTTACAAATACTCGCTCCAAGGTTATACACAGCCCGGTTCACATGACTGAGCATGTCTCTGGAGCAGAATGAGTGAAATGTGACCTGAGGTACTAACCAGAGTCAGAGCAAAAAGTACTTCATTACATAAAATTTAAAGTGAAGCTAAACTGATATGATATTCTAATGGACTGTGAAAAACCTCTGCAAAGATAAAATCATGAATTACAATAAACTTAACACTGACATTTGACTCTTTTTTCCTTCCTTTGCAACCTCTCAAACAACACGTTTGATCATTCCTTTGCTGTCAGGACTCACGGAGCAGGTCGACTCCAAAGTGGTGTTGAGTAATGTGTTCAAACAGAGCAGTTAGGATGGGAAGCAGAGCTACGGTGGTGTAGTTGATATTCTGCGACACTCCTTTCATCTGCGAGCGGGAGTGGGTGAACTTCCCCAGCTTCAGGTTCTCGAACGTTTTCTCCAGATCCTCTGCGCCGTTCTCGAAGAACGTCCTCAGCCCCACCCTCACCTGCTCGGAGCCCGACTTCATCACTGTCCTGTTAGGGTGAACGAGAGCGTGATGAACAACTGAAACCGAATGAGGAGAAACACAAGGGGGGACAGATTGGCATGCAAAGGACGACGTTGTTTACCCACGGTGGAGCGCGCTCACAAACGCAATTATTCCACTCTCAGAGCACGTGAAGGCTTTAGTCATGAAATATGAGGTGTGAGTATCGACCCGACTGCCCTCGCACTCAAACATGAATGATTTATTTAATAAACTAAGGAGAATATTTAAGTCCAAGGTGAGCATGCCTGTTATAGACCTAAGAAAAACGGCACAGCACTCGGTGCATTAAGATGATTAGTGTGTCTGTTTTGAGCATTTCACAGTTCGTAACATTGGCAAATGAATTGCCTATTGTTAAGCTTTAACGTATCCCAGAAGGAAGGAGAAATGAAAGAGAGTCTGTGGGCATCTTCTGCACAAACAGGGCGCAATAACATGTTGCAAATTTAGCCTCATTATGTGTACGCTGCATTAGGAAACAGTGCACTGCCTCTAAAGAACACTGTGAGCCTTGGGCAACATGTGCTGCATGAAATTTGTGTTGCTTATTTAAATGGCAAAGGAGGCTCTTTGTTAATGCCAGTGCCTCCCATAAGACTCCCGAATTAAAACTGTTTAAAAGACAAATATACGCCTCTCGAGGGCTCAGCAGAGGTTAGATTTGCTTTTCAGTGCCTCTCAAACCAATTATTGTTTAAGCACAACTGAGATAACATTTAAAATCATCTGTTTTTCAGAGTTTAACAGGCAAATATTTACAAAAAATATCATGATGAAACCTTCCTGTGTCGATTATTTATTGTTTTGTTTGCAAATGTGCTCTAATCTGAATGCATTCCAGGATGTGAATATTCAGTGAAGCTGGGTTCAAAAACGTTTTGGGGTTGTTGTTTTTACATTTGGGAATCTACTTTTCCAGAAATAAAATGTTCTAGCCAGGAAAAAAGAGAAAATATCTTTGTCTTTGGGAATAAAATGCTCTACATATCAGGCTTTTAATTAAAGCACAAATAAGGTTTGGAGTATGAGGAAGAAAACATATCAAATCATAACTTTTCAGACATTACTATTGGAAACATGTGCTTAACATGGTCATTATTGTTGTTTTATGTGTCTTATAGTCAAAATGAAATGATGTATTTCCCATTAGTCGTAAAAGTGCAAGTTATGGTACAAAAAGTGACTAACAAATGAAAAAAACATAAACTGGCTAAATTGATCTCCTTTAATTTTTAAAGTTAGCACCAAAATTTGCACCAACCTGGTATCGAGTGTGTGTGCCAGGATATGCAGACAGCTGACCATGGTGGTGGAGTCACTCCCTACGAAACACCAAGAACACATAAGCCATCATCATGATGTGGATACACGCTCGTTTCTTTCTTGTCTTAGAATGATTCATTCGTCTGTATTGAGCCTCTCAGATTAACACAACATTCAAGAAGCCCCCTTAGCTGGATGTGCAGTCAAAACAATTTCCATTTGATTCATGTGACAGCAATACAGACTCAAAGCTACTGAATATTGTCTGATTTTGCTTCTTTTAGCTTGTTAAAATGTATCCAGATTCACTTATAGGATAGTAACAAGTATAGCACAGGAGACATTTATCTGATCACTGCACTAGAAGTAGCAAGACACTGGCTGTTGTCCCCAGAGGACAATTTGTCAGATGACAGCTCAGTTTCCAGACATTTATAAAATGAATATAATGTTTAACAGAAAGAATTGGATGAAAATATAAATATAACTAAACATCAAAGACTTAGAATATGCATAATTACTTAAAGAGTTCCAACATAGTGAAATAAAGACTCGCTTTACTCCCACTCTAGAGCCAGCAGCCAATTAGATTTTCTTGCATTTCAAATCCATGTGCCATGTCTGATGCATGGCGCCAGGCAGAGAGTCTGGCACCAGCAGCTGCTGAAACAGCTCCTCTTCTTGCATATGTTATGGAATTATAGTAACTTTGGGTCAGCACATAAACTAAGTTAGCGACATAGCTAAAAAAAAGATGCTGGGCAAAGTCAGGCTGGCTGCTTCTAATATTTATATTGAGCTAAAGTGGTGTCATATTTCATGTTTATAAGTAAAGCATTCAGGTTCTCATGCTACAGTAGCTTTGGGCAAGAACTCTTCCCTTAAGGCCTGACTCTTTCTCTCACATCTGTGTTCACATTTTTAAGCTGAAAATGTTGAAGGTGATGTTAACAAAGCTCATAAGGCAGCACAAACACACACATACACACACCTGACCAGATACTAGTAGTCGGCTTACCAAAGAGTGAAATCCTATGTCTGACAAGAGCTGCCAGTTTACAAAAGAGGCTGGAGGCATGAGGAATTAAAGAAATAGCAATGAAATCAGAAAATCAGGGTTAGTAAATGAACAGAGGAGTAGTAATTCAAGTTAAGAGTTCAATTTAATTTCAAGCAGAATATGGCAACAAGAAATAATCATGCAACATGCTGCACTGTTGCATGTACATCAACTAAATGGGTACCTGGTGACCATTTCTTTCTCCTTGTTGGAGGCATAGCCGCTGCTGCTTAGATTCTTATTAGGGGAGGACAGGAAGTAGAGAGAGTGGTTCTTAAAGTACTGGTCAATCAGAGGGAGGAGCACCTGAAGGGCAACAAAGACGATGAGAAGCCAGGTCAGGTTAATCGCATCATGTTTGAACGAGCTCTCCACATGCAGTATTTGTGCTGCTTTCTTACTTTGGCAAAAAACTTGATTTCTTGCTCATGAGGTGACCTGTCTGTCTTGCCGCTGACAGCCATGGCTTCTGGATTGAGAATATTTATTTAAAAAGAAGCTTATTTGATGTGATTAAAGTCTGCTTTAGTCATATCTTGTGTATTATTATTAGTATTATTTTTGTCATACCTAAGTGGGTAATGAATTCCTGGGCTGAGTCAACATATTTGAGCAGCTTCTTGAGGAATTTGTAGGCAAACCTTTTCTCCATGGAGGAGGAATCCTGCTCCAAGTCCTTCAGACCTCTGCAACATAAGAAGATGTCTATAAATGAAATGTTGGTAAAACCTTGGTGATGGATTCCACGGCTAGTTATAAATTCATTCAAACTTTCTGCAAAACCTTAACTCAACATCAGAGAGAGCTTCTGTTTGTATTGACCTTGTGATGCTATATCCATTGATTAGCAGGAAGCGAAAAAGGTCCTGAGCCTTCTCTCGATCGCGGGCCTTCTCCTTGGCCGTCAGCGTGTCGTAGGGCACCAACAGAGGATGTGTTCCCCCTCCTGAAACCACAAGCAGCTTATTGTTCAGACACGATTAGCCACGTCTCTCTCCGCTGAGCGTCTCCGTGAAGGCAGATGGCGAACCGGAGAGCACCACTCGGCTGAATCGAGTTAGTCAAGACCAGCGAGGCAGACGCGTGCATATGCTCCCAAACACATTTAAATGCAACAACCAGCACTTTAATCCCACCCACCCAACACACACACATACTCTTCCTGTCTGCTTTTCATGCGTCTCTAAGCAGTACGCATTTCTGATCGGCTTCATTAGCAAATCACCTCGACTTCCAAGGTCACTTTTCTTCTTCTTGGCCCAGATGTTATGGTAATTTTCAGCCACCACCTCCACCATCCCCTTCAAAACAAGACAAAATTGAAGTGAGACGCACATCCCGCCCACATTACTCATTTGCATGCAGGAAGGATTGCTTTTGATCTCGCATTCAGATTGAGGCGTCCTTTGATACATGAAAAAGGGAAGAAGTGCAACAAATCAAACGTGGGGTCACTCACTTGCAGCTCTCTGGATAGAACCACGTTGCTTGTGTCTATTGGGCTCGGATTGAAGCCGTTAGCCTGAAAACACATGTAAGTTTGCGGTGAGAGTCTGAGCTTGATTGTGCTGTTATCTGTAAATCGAACGTTGGATAACAGAAGACTTAATAGCCTGTGTTTAAGGATTATTTTGTGTATTTGGGCTTATTGAAGGAGGTGATTAGTAACATTAGTACTGTGCTGTTGGTGGTCCTGTACGAAAACTAGAAAATGTAAAGTAAATACAGCTAACATTGCTAAGTTTATTTACAAGTAATGATTAGATAAAAAAAAAGATCACACTTCTGAAATGTAAATAAATTCTTGTTTAGTTATAACAGTATAATTAACTGATTTTAACCTCTAAAGCTGAAAAACAGCACAGTGACACTACCAGGTAGAAGTTCAGCATTCAAAGTTCTGTTAGGATCGCAGGGATTCTGCATTTGTGCCTTTAACCTGCTTAAATGTGCATGTGGCATATATTCATGCGTTAACGATTAATTCATTCACGTTCATCTATGAAATTCTGGACTAAGAGGCCCACAGCATGCCACGAAAATATCTCCTACAGCAACAGCACCGACCTGAACCGTCCATATAAGATCATGCTGTAGAATCCATGCTTTAAATGATTTATACCATCATCTGAATGAGCAGAAATTGAGACTCATATAATCAGACAACATCTTTCCAATCTTCTGTTCTTCACATTTAGTTAGCTTGGGTGAACTGTAGCCTCTCTTTCCTGTTAGCTGACAGGAGTGGTACCTGCCGCTGTAACCCATCTGTTTTATGGTTCAACAAGTTCGGACATGCTCTTCTGCATATGTTGCTGTCGTTGTAACGAGTGGTTATTTGAGTCACTGCTGCCTGCCAACTAAAAGCAGTCTGCCAATTGTCTCTAGCATCACAGAGGCCCAGATAACTGCTGCTCACCGGATACTCTGCCTTTTTAGGACCATTCTTTGTAAACCATAGAGATAGTTCCTATCCCAGTAGATGCCAGTAAAATCCCAGTAGATCAGCAGTTTCTGAAATACTCGGACCAGACTGTCTGGCAAGTCACTTAAATCCACTTTGAACTTCAGCAGGTCGTCATGACAATGTGTACAAGCCTAAATTCATTCAGCTAAAAAGTAGCTGTTGAGTGTTTTGACTGTAAGGAATCACATACATCTATACTACTTCTCTGACAATCATAGTCAAGTCAAGCAAGATTTCCTCAACAGGAAAGCAAATTAGCAACTACAGCTGTGCTGGAGACGAGCAATTTTTCACCGTACAATCTTTGGAAACACTTTCCATCCCTGCATCGTACCTGTGAGGCCTGAGATATCTTTCTCATTTTCTCAGTCTCCCTCTGTTGAGACATGCTCTCTCCATCTTTGGTCCTATCGATACTCCACCCCATTGCCAGCATACTCTTCAGGGACTCTCTAATAGGCCATCTGTAAATATCCTTCTCCTGAAGCAGAGAGACAGAAATGGAGAACAAATAAAAAATCCTCATGAGCCTTAAAAGCCCTAATCTCTTTAAAGTTAATATTATTTACAAATATCACATTCTTCATACTGTACCTTCTCCGTCAGGCCTTTGTAGGTCCTCAGCTGAGGATGAGTCTTCGCCTTCTCATCAACACAGTCTCCATATTTCCACCCCAGCAGCACCTGAGGCGCAAGCAGAGAGTGACAGCAACCTGATTGCCTTCAGAGTCTCCCGAGGACAAGATTTACTATTTGACAGACTGAGTACGAGATTAAGCACACATCATATTTTTGTCGTGTCATGGTTGTTGCTGCTCTCAGCTTTTGCTAAAAACTTTAACGAATGAGACAATGCAGGCTAAGCAGCTGGCACAAGAGAGCGCATTAGCTCTCTACTATGGCTCTACCAAAGTTATTGTCAGCATGCCAGAGCAATCCCTCGACTCTAACAAAGAAGGAGGCATCGCCAAGGGGGAAGCATTACTGTGACACAGGAGAAAGAAAAGAAAATATCATGATAACCATCCATCCACTTTTTTCCACTTATCAGCTTAAGACAGCTGGGCTAGGCTCCACCTACCCCTTCCAGGGACCCTGATTGGATACGCTGATATCATGATGTACAGCACTGACTTAATTTTGTTACTTTTATTCACTTTCATGTAGCTGAAATCCACCTCCACTGATTATCATCCTCCGCAGTGCCCTGCTCTTTTCTCATAACAGCAGTGGCCTGCTCTAAAACTGCATCATTTAATAGCCATTTGACTCGGCGAAGGCTCTTACCTTCTCTGCAGACCATTTCTCATGGGTATGCTCGGCGTACTTGTTGGCAAAATGCTCAAGTTTCTCTGGAAGAGCGATGCTAGAATAAAAAGCTGACAGTTAGTCTGCAAGTATGTGCAAAATGCATGTTAATGAAATTACGCAGAGTGTGTGGCTGCATTTTTTTGTGTGCATTGGTTTCTAATTGGTGTCTGCCTTCAGAATGGCTTACTTAGCCGTATTGATTGGTTTGGGGTCAAAGTTGCCCTGAGCATCCACAGAAACAGGCTTTTCCACAGTGGTACTAATGGAGGCATCCACATAGTCTGGCGGCAAAGCTCCAGCTATGGCACTGAGACAAGGCATGGCCATCTTGAACAGCTCGGGGTCGTACTTCTGCATGAGGAAAGAAGGAAAGCAACAGGACTGAATGTGAAATTGCATCTCCTCCTATAGAGCTCTGCAAATAAAAATGTTACTTAACAAATGCAAGTAATGTCTTCCACTGCTAATTTAAGCTGAACTTGAATAAAGTCGTATAGCCACTCCAGTCTTAAAGAAAGAGCAAGAGGCAAGCGGAAGAAACGTTAATGAAGAATTATTCTTAAAAGCTGAGGGACCGGCGTGCTCGGGGCTTTGGATCAATGACGGCTGTCCAGATATTGATGTTTTCAGACCGGCGCTTTGCAAAGCCTCCTTTCGTGAGTGGGCATTTAGAGAGATGTGCTGAGTCCAACCATCTGCATTGCTAATAGACCTAAACCTATTTATACCCAAGTAGTGCCTCGAATACATACATGTTAATCAAGACTGCATGAATTATGGGATTTTTATTGAACGGTTTATCGTGTTTTTAGAGCATTTGGACTTTCCCTCACCCTCTGAGACAAAGAGTCAAACACTCCCCAGAAGATCTTCTTGGTAAGCAGTAGTTCATCTTCAGAGGCTGTTCCAAAGCTGCCCCAGCCTGAAGGGAGGCAGTAGTACTTCCAGTTTTGCTCATAGTGGTTGGTTAGCAGCTAGAGGGCACAGGAAAGACACACATGCTTAGCGAGTTCAAAGACAGGTAATAAGCATGCACACTGCCACACATGGCACCGCACAGGGGAATCACTTCTTCCAAAATCAGCACAACTTAGAGTAAGAAACACTTTTGTGGGCCAGCCGCAATCTATTACATCTCCAGGGTTTCTTTGCCTGAGAGACAGAGTCGAGACGTAGAGCCAACAAGCCCGACAGTCCACTACTTCACCCCCTTGTTTTGTTTTTTCCCCTCCTATAGCTCCCCACTTTGATTAACACTTCTTACAGGTGCGTTACAGCTGTGGCACCTTGGGAGGGTTTATGTGAGCGTGAAAGAGAGCGAGAGGGGCGAATGCAGGCACCATTACATTGATTAGAGTTAGTGGAAATGAGCTGTTGGTAGCTCCCCACCAAGTTGAAAATCTAATGAACGTATGAGAGCAAAGCGGGACCATGCAGCGACCACATGGACCACACAAAAAGAGCATGTAGAAACGAAAGGGAGAACTTAAAATAAAGGAGAAGACGGCGATTAAGAAGTAATTAATAATTAGGACGACGGGAAGCAGCGAAAACAAAAACACGAGGGCAGCGTGACAGAGGATCTGAAATAAAGGATGACGGAGGAATTTAAATGAATGAAAGAGCGAAGAAACTGTTGCCCACCCTTAGAGGCATCTTGCAGTAATCAGTCAACAAGGGCACATCAAAGACGAGGCGGCGCAGGAGCTGCTGCAGCATGGAGGGACGAAGGTGCCTGCGGGATAGGGCGGGAGAGAGATAAGAGCTCTGCTGCACTCGGGCTGCCTTTAAACATCTTCAGACTTTGACCAATTTTGCGCGTCACACTGACTCAAAAAGATGGTTAAGATAAGTTGTTAGTCTTTACTACTTCTGGAAAAGTGGTTTTTTAACTCTTCCGCTTCTTACTTGCAAACAGACAGCAAACACTCCTCTATCGCATCTCTCTGCGCCTTGGTCAGCGATCGGCCTTTGGACAGGCGGTAGATGGTGTGCAAGGTGGAGTCTATGAGGGTGGCGTAGTGCTCGGTGCCAGCGAAGAGAGGGGCGCAGCGGGTGAGGAGGGGCAGCATGGCTGACCCGATGTAGCGGTTCATAGCCAGGGCTGTCTCAGTGGTACACAGACCCTCCTGTAGGGGGAAAAGGTCACACAACATGTCAAAACTCAGATATACAGTGATTAAAACTTTAAGGAGGCAATTTGAAAGAAGCAACATATGGATGTGTTCCAGCTATTTGTTGTAATCTATAAGCGTACTGTTGATTAATAAGAATAAAGAGCAATGACATTAATCAAACAAATTTAAAGCAGAGCTTTGGCTTAATGAGCTGCTTCTTATTGCTATAAAACAGAGCCTGATATTATCGATCCAGAAACTCCTTGAAGTTCGTGTTACGGTGGCTGGCTACTCATTACTTTTCTCCTACGCTGCTATCAGCTGCGCCTACCGTGTCCAGAGAAGTAGCAGCCCTCAGGTCAGGGAGGAAGCCAACTTCAAGCAGGTGAAGCAGAAAGCTCTGGGCTTCCACGCCATACACTCTGTCTAAAAACAGCACCATGGGGGCCTTGTGGTCCGGACAGAAGCTCGCCGACATGTCCGGCTCTGTCACTGACCCATCTAGGAGTTTGAAGCAGACATAACAAAGAGGAGTTTTGTGATCCACGCAAGCATGAAGCAGTGAAATACCCAGGGAACAGCATGCACTTCATAATGGAAAGTCTTTTCTAATTAGGAGAGCCATGCGTATTCATTAGGCCGCACGCACGCAGCAGTTTTTCTGGACCCTTGACTCGTTGTCTTGGTTCTTGGCCTGCTGACAAAGCTTGTGTGGCAATGCTCACAGCAGCAAATGTAAGAGGCGAGTCTTGCCATGCTTAAGCAGATCAATCAATAGAGCAAGACAGCCCGCTATAGAAATGATCTGGCTCACTCAGAGCCACGGCAGCGTGCGCTAAAGCATCGCGCTGATTAAAAAGGCATGAGCAGTGAAATCGATAACTTCCCGCCTTGCACTGAACGTGCATAGTTTGGGAATCGCTGTGTGTGACATGCTGTAACATGCACATGCTCACACGTCACGTTGTTAGCCAGTACCTTTGTTAGTAATGGGCATTTTGAGCGGTATGCTAATGATTCCCACGAGGTCCTCAGTAGGCACCAGAGAGCGCAGGATAGCACGAATGCGCAGAGCTTCGCCTTTCCCTTTGTTGATGAGCTTTAGGCGGGAAAAGCAAGTGAATCAGAGGAAAATACAACAAAGCAATTCCATGAAAAACAACCTGTGACACTTTCTAAGAAACTTACATGCATCTCAGGGGCACAACGTCCTAACAGGTCGATGAGAGCAGAGTAGAACGACATGATGGCATTGCCCATGTGGACCACCTCCTCTTCATCGTCACCATCACCAGACCTAACAGTGGGAAAAGAGCAGAAACATTTTTAAGGGCATTGAAGCAAAGACACAAATCAACAGGGGCTGGTTAAAGCAGTTAATCTGAAGGCTAAGGCCTTGGCATTGATTTTATAAGATTTGCTTGATTTTTATGGCTTACACATCAGAGCTAACTCCCTGGACGGAGCCTGGGAGGTCCAAAGCGGGCGTCTCAGAGATCTTAATAGCTTCCTTCATGGCAGCCAGGAGACCGTTCCCTCCCTCTCCTCTCAGAGCAGGTCCGAAACACTCCGGACGACGGATCAGCAGCTTCACCACAACGCTCGAGTTCTCCTCCACACTCTCGCCTGCAACACGAACATATATGGACACGTGCAAGAATAGAGATGCTCGCCATTCAGCATGAGTAGACAACATCTGAGTAGACTTCGCCTTAAGCAAGCGACGGCAGTTCTTTTGAATCTCTGCTACGTTTCTCTGTGCGTTTAAAGACAGGAGCGGCACAAGAATAAACAGACAGAACAAGTGAGAGATGAAATCAGGGAGAAACCAATAAATGCAGACATACCGTTCACAAAGACAGCAAACCGCAAGAAGGACAGATAGCGCTCTCCCTCAATGGGGTTCCAGCCAATGTCTGGATAACCTTTAGCCAGAAGCATTGGACAACTCTGAAGACCACAGCCAGCCAAGTAGGTGACCACCTAAAGATACATTACACACATCATGTAGCTCAAATAATCTGTGCATTCCCTCCCTGGTGGTCTTACCGTAGGTATCTCTTTCTTAATATGCATGTATAGGTCCTCAAGTCCAAACTGTCTTTCTCTCTGAATCAAGCAGGAAGACTACACAGTGACTTAAACTCACCTTGTCCAGGTCAGGTTCTTCAAGTGCCAGAGCCAGCCCGTTATTGTCCATCACTGAGGAAGCAGCCACATCTAGCGGAGTGGAGCCCCTCATAGCTGGCGAAGCTGCAACACAATCCACCCACACAGGCTCAGATAGTTAGTGTCATTTTTGTTGTGTCTTACTGTTCAGACAGCTACCCTGTGCCCACGTGTGCTTTTTAAAATAATGTGTAAACAGCAGGGGGTGCTATTTCCACTTTTTAAAATGTAACAGGAAGCTAAGCTGCCTTAGTTTTAGGGTTCTTACCAGTTTGCACTGAACAACTCAGTCATATTAGGACATAACATAGCACTGCACATTATTTATATCACAGCTTGTTTGATTTCACAAGAGTTGTTTCAGTTTTCATCTTTTTTTCCCCGTAGCACTAAATAACCTGCTGTAACCTATGAGCAATAAGTGAAGTCGTTCATGCGAAC